CTATAGTAAGTAGTGCCTATATTTAGGCTAAAAAGTAACTTAAGATTACTATAGTAGTTACTAGTACTGCTACTACTTATATCTAGGTAGTTATAATATAAAAAAAGCTACTATTAGTTCTTTTATATTTAATATTAGTAAAAGTAGTATAGCTATAGTTAACTATAGGCTTTTTTACTACCCTTACTATTTTAGGTTATTTTATAGCTAGGCTACACTTATTAGGTCTTAGTGTTCTTATAATTATCTTACTATTAACTCTAACTTTACTTATTAGATATCTATAGTTATAGCACTAGCCTTCTTACTAAGGTACTAACTTAGGGGAATTATATCTTTTACTTAACCTTAGGCTAGAGGTAGTAAATATTACGTCTGCCTTAAGGGTAAGTATATATCCTACTTTTATTAACCTTAGGTATAGTAGCCTATACTATTTAAGAATTAGCTTAGTATAGTAAAAAATTATAGTCTAGGTAGGCTTACTAGTAAGATAGTGTTATAGCCTAGTAGGCTTATAATTTCTTATTTTTTACTTTTTAACTTAGACTATATTATTATAGTAGCTTTTATTTACTTTTAAAATAATAAGTTTAAAAAGATACTTATTTTTTATTTAGGTATATTACTTATTATAATATTTTTACTTAGAAGTAGTTATTAAGGAGGCTTTTTTTAAAAAGTAAAAGGTATTTACTTAGTTAAGTTCTTTTTTAGTATAACTAGGTTTTTAAATAACTAAAAGCTTTATAAGTTACTATAAGATAGTAAGATATTCTCTACCTTACTATATAGTCTTAATAAAAGCAGCTAGTTAGTTCTTATATCTCTAATAATTCTTTTTACTATATAGAGGGTGCTTTTAACCTAGTAAAGGTTATTAGCTTAACTAGTATTTAACTAAAAGCCTTATTACTACTTATTACTAAAGTAATATAGTATATTTTTATTAAATTCTATAGTTAAAAGGGATTATATATTATTATAAAGACTTTAGGGCAGCTACTAGGTAATCTTATAGGATAGGTTTTACTTAAGCTATATATAGAGACGCCTAAGTTTAGAGATCTACTTTAGCTAAAGCGTTCTTAGTATACTATGTTTTTAAGCCTATTACTTTTATTAAGGTATATATATTTCTTTACTATATAGTAGTAAAAAGAGGTTTAAATAAAAGTAATAAAAATAATAAAATAGTATAAATTAAGATAGTTATACTACTACTTAATATAGCCTTCTTAGTAGCTATTATAAATCTAATAGAATAAAGCTAGAGTATAGTAGTAAAGTAAAGTAATATAGTATAAAGGTAAAGTGTAATAGTAAAGTAGTAAAGCAAGATAAAGAATAATAAGAAGCTAAATAAATAATATAAAACAAGATAAGTAATAGATAGGTAGTAATATTCTTAGTTAACCTCTTTCTTTATAAAGAGGCTCTAACTAAAGGGATATATCTATAGTATACATAATATAGCACATGTGCTATAGTTATATTCCTGTTATCTACCTAACTCCTAGCTCTAGGCACTTAACCTCTTGTTCTATAACACTACTCTAATATATTTTCTCCTTAATCTAGGTTATTACCTCTCTCTTTAACTAAATATTCTATATATTAGCTATAGTAAGACTTTTTTTTTACTTTAAATAAGTTTTCTTTACCTTTTTATATTAGTTAGGTAGGTTACTCTCCTTATAAAAGGTTTTTACCTTAGCCTTTAATAAAGTATTTTTATATATATTTCCTAACGCTTCTTTAATAATATACTTAGTAGCTATTAATTTATATATTAAGGAGCTATCTAGATAATTAATAAAGTAATCCTTAATAAGGGTTCCTTAAGAAGATATCTTTATTATATTATATAATGTCTAGGAAGTCTAAGCTAGTAGTGTTATTAGAAGAGATCCTAAAGATATTAGAGTATATAACTTAATATCTAGCTTTAATAGTATACTTTTTAGACTTAGAGAGATAAGCTCTACCCCTCTAAAGCCTCCTTAAATATTTACTTTTATAAGAGCTTACTTAAAGGCGTTATAAAATACTAAAAAGAAGTTATCTTTTATAATATAAGTATTACTTTATTATATCTTATCCTTAATTTCTTAACTATATACTAGCTTTAAAGGCCTAAAGCACCTAATATCTAAGTGCTAAAGTAGAAAAAATAAATAAGGTAGTATATAAATAGTAATAATATTATTTTTTTTATAATATAGCTTAAAGTCTATAGAATAGTAACTTTTATACCTATTAATAATAAGAAAGTAATATTTCTTTTTTATATATAACTTTAAATATTAATTAAAGTGCTAAAGCTAATCTAGGCCTCTTTTATTTATTATTTATCTCTTTTTAGATATTATAATAGAGCAGGGTAGGGCGATTAGCCTAGAGTAAGGTAGTATGCAGACCGATCGGAAGATTCTAATCCCGATCAAGTACAAAGATATAAGCCAGTATCAATAGGTTCAGAGATAGACACGCATAATTCATCCTTTATACTCATACCTACCTTCTAATTAAACTAGAGCCTCTCTATAATTTACCTTTAATCGTGATAACACAAGACGATTAGGAGTAAATACCTACCTAATTAGGGCATAATTATGCTTAATCCTACAGTTTAACACTCACAATTAATATTAATTCTAGATAGATTAATACGATTTATACACTAATTAGTAAGGAATCTTATGTTGCTTTTAGTAGTTATAGTGTTCTATGTAGTCACCACACCGCAAGAGTCCCCTATACCCTACGCGCTTTTAATAATAATTTAGTTAGGTAAGAGACTAGATTCTATATACTAGGTAGAGAGAAGACTTTTACCTCTAATAATAATATATAGTAAGACGCTATAACTAGATAAACTAATAGCCTAAATAACTATAACTTTTTCTTAATTTCTAGGCTACACTACTTTTATATTTAAACGTCTTTTAACGCTTATAATAACTATTCTAGATATAATCTAGCTTATTATAAAGCTAGTCTTATTAAAGTTATAAATATTAGACTTTATAATACTATATTTTATAATTATATTTACTATAAAGTAAAACTATATATTTATTACGTCTAGATCTTTATATTAAGCCCTCTTATAGTTATACTTTTAAAAAAAACGTATTTAAAGCTTTAGTGTTTATTTAATAAAGTTTAAGGCCTAGCGCTTACTAACTAGAGGTATATTATAATTAGTAAGTAGTTAATTAGCTATTTCTTTAACACTACTAAGGTAAAAAGGAAATAATTAGAAATCTAGGTTAAGAATAAACTTAACTAGCTTCCTCTCTTTAAGTTCTATTAAATTTTATAAGTTAGGTATAATATTATGTTATAATAGTATACCTTTTAATTAACATATTACTAAGTTATAACTAACGTTAAATATCTTTACTATAGCTTAAATACTAAGTTTTAGATCTTTTTTACACACTTAGATAGCTAGCTGTACCTAAGCTTAATTATAAGTTAATTTTATTATTATTAGTAAAAGAATAAAAGGGAAAGGTTAGATAGTTAGATAGTTATAGTTTAGTAGTACGCTTGCTTGTCTAGCGCGCTTGCTTATTATATATGTTATACTTAATAATAAATACTTATACTTAGGGTTTAAGCTACTTTTTTCTTCCTACTTTTATTATAGCCTTACTTAGTACTAGCTTATTTTTTTTTTACCTTTTAGTATACTAGTCTTATTTATATTATATCTTTAAGCTAGTTTAATAGTAGTAATATAAAGGATTATAAAGTACTTAAGCTATTCCCTAATACCCTTAGTAAATACTTTATTAATACGTCTTAAATTAATAAATTAACTTCTTTAGACCTTAATAAAGGGGTTTCTTTATACTAAGCTATTTATCTATTACTTACCTAGAGGCTAGGTATCTCTTATAGTCTTAAGGATACGCTAGGTAAACTCCCTAACTTATTAATAGGTTAGTAAAAGCCTAAGATCTACCTATATTATAATCTAGGCCGCTAGGCTAGCTTCTTAGCTTATTAAAAGCCCCTAATAGTCTTTAGATATAGTAGCCCTAGGCTAGGTGCTATAATATAACTAATACTATAGAGTAGACTAGGGGATACTATACTTATAGGCTGCCCTCTTAATAGGGGTTCTATTTTAGATAGCTTAGATTACCTAATTAATTTTATCTTTAGTATATTTAACTATTAGGCTCTAAAGAAAGTATCCTAAAAAAATAAAGTAATTTAAAGAAGGTTAAGAAAAGTGGTAATAGTTTAAAGTGGTAGATATATCTAGAAAATGGGTGGCCAGGCGGCATTTTTGGGGTGCTGAAATGCAGGGGGTGCCGAAAAGTGGGTGCGTTGACTTACGACACACCCCCCTAGATCGCAGAGATCTATCTTTGTGATCTGTCTGCTATCACTGGGTTAACAGGGAAGCCATTATAGCACCCCCCTTAGCTTTCTTTTTTTAAGACACTTTGTATCTATCTGCTGGAGTTAAAACGCTTCCTGTTTATGGCTTGCGCGGGATTTGAACATGAGGGGTCTATAACGCTTAGATGCTAAACTCTAGGGCTAGTGCTATTCTGGCACACTAGAGCAAACTAGGCTTATAACTGTTGTAGAAACGACGCTGTTAATTGCAAGTAGCAATTAACGCCTTATGTGCGTACTACGTACGACAAAAGGTTAACTTTCCACTCTAAGTTGCGGGGTAAAAAAAAGGTTTATGTATCTGTAGTAGACGAACTTGGGAAGCTAGGTTGACTGTAGACAAACGTTTATAACTTTATGCTAAAACCTCTGCTGCGACATAAAGATAATGATTGGATACTTGCCCTCCATGCCGAGTCTCAAGCCTTATACATACAAAGCTTCTTATCAAGCCCCTTCTGAGGTTTGCCTCCGCCTCCACGGCACTGTTACTTCGTTTGCATAATCTGCTGCCACTCCCGAGCAGCTCTCTTCTTTCTTGGGCGCTGTTTAGCTATCAGAATAACGCAGGATGCAGACTAGGAAGAAAAGATCAGCTCAATAGGACCCCTGGGCTGTAGTGAAATCTCGTGGCCCAATGGAATTCGCGAGCAAATGAAGCGCTCGGCGGAGTCTGGGTCTACATCCCTGCGCAGCCAGCATCCCGAAGAACCTGCGGTCACGACCTTGTTGAGCTTGAGCCCAGTGAATTGTTGAAAGACGCGCGTTATCACATATGCCATCTCGATCATCGCTAGCTGCTGACCTATGCAAATTCGCGGACCGCCATTGAAGGGAATGTAGGTCCAGGGCTTAGGAGTCCACTTGGTCCAACGATGGGGATCAAACTCATCTATCGGTGGAAAGTTCGGGCTGACTGGTGGATAAATTTCTGGACTCAGCTCTGAGGCCGTTTTGTCAGCGGAATATTGCATCCCCCAGGCATCATGGCCCATATGACTACGTTAGTGGCTTACGTAGGATTTGCGTCGAGTAGATCACCGACGTTCCGGCAGGGATCCCGATAGGGAGGTTGCCATCAGGACCACCGCCCTTGGGAAGACTGGTGTCTTTCAAAGCCTGGCGGATGTTGATGGGCACATTTGGATATAGCCGTAGAGTTTCGTTGATAATGTGGGTTAGAAATGTCATTCTTTTGAGATCTTCATAGGTTGGTCTTTTTGCGTCTTGTCCCAAACCAACGACGTCACCGATGATACATCTTAGCTCCGAGACGATGTGCGGATTACGGGCCAGCTCGTAAAATGCAAAAGCCAGGGTCTGAGATGTGGTATCACGGCCCGCTATGAAGATTCCTTGGAGTTCGTCCATAAGAAATTTGGGGTCCTTCGATATGGCTGCTACGGCATAGGCGAACGCCCAGTCGCCATCCTCACTATCGAGCTTATTCAGCTCGTCCTGAGACATTGAAAGAGCTTTATCAATCGTCGGCTGGAACACAGCGTCCACGATGCCCTTGTCGCGGCGAAAGCCATCCCTTGGAATCAAAAAGTTAAAGGGCGTCGTCCGCTCAATAAGCGACTGTGTATGGAGTAATCGTTTATGAGCCTGGGCGAACTCATTCTCCCCCACCGAGGCGAGTGATCTGATGTCGCGGCCGAGGACTAGCTCTGTTACTGTATCCGTAGAGAATCTGTAACATGGATAAATCCACTCATCAGTGTCGTCACCAAAATGGGCACGTGGCCGTTCTGCCACGGCGCTCAATGGTCCTCACCGTCCTAATAAATCCATCATATCGACAGTCCTTGACCCATTTAGCAGGGGCAAAAGGTCTTGTACATGCCTCTCGAACAAATCAAGATAACTGTTTCTCTGGCGAGCGAACAACGGACGCAATCGCTGGCGTGCGAGGTGCCACGCGAGCCCATCAAGAAGAAAAACACTGTTTCCCACAAGCGGGCTCCAATCTCTGTAGAATCTTTCTCCTTTACCAAAACATTCAAATTGTGTTGCCAGCATTGCTTTAATGTTCTCCGGGTCCGCCGTGAAAACTGTGCGTGCCCCAACAAGTTGAACCTCAAAGGTGTAAGGGCACATACGGCCCTTCCCTGTTCGGCTGAAGCAGTTGTGCAGGAACTCAACACTTTGATTCTTCAGAGCGTGACGGGTAATACTCCAGATGAAGTAGAGACCAGCGAGAAAATCTGGGCTTAGTTAGGGCCGGCTTCGGAAAAGGAAGGCCAGAGAATGATCTGATTTAGGAGCGTTTACCAGTTGGAAACCAGCACTGGAATTTGGGAGCGTGGGTTCCATGCCGGTTAATGACAATCTCTTCCTTGACATAACGGGATGCAATCCAGATTATTCCGGAAGCAACTACGCCTATAAGCTGCCAATAGATCCCCATAATGAGGACACTGAGCGAAGGCTGCTTGGTTCACTGTGAAGGCTGTGACAGCAATGTGAAATGATGTTTGAAATAGCGGGTCAGAGAACTACAGCAGATGAAGAGTGAAAAGCGGGAGGAATAGATAAAACCATCGATAGCTAGAATAAGAAACATAATCTCAAGTTCTGTACAGTAGCAAATGAACGCGTCATCAATCGACGAGGATGACCAGTTGATCTGGTTCTTGTACAGCAAGATTAAACGGTAAAGTTATAGTTCTAGCTTACTCTATTTACACGTTCCAATCGAATGATATAGGAAAAGTTGAGAGTATGTAAGTATGAAACACACCTATCGACCTTATCATGAGGTCTTTTGAACTTGATTAAACTATATATCCCAAAAAGCAAGATAAGAGCTTAATAATGGATTATTTTGATAATGATGACCCTGGGGTTTTACTACATTACGCGACTTCACTAGGTTCATATCGTCTACTAGCATACTTATTTGTCTAAAAGCCGAAATAGTATTTAGTCCTTAGAGGGCCCCTATATCAGAGAAATCTGCGTATGAGTGAATGTTCTCAAGTCATCGATGTTGTCAGGTAACCATTAAATTATTCTTAACAACCTGATTCTACCGTAGCCATGAATGCAGATCAGATACCTCCTATCGCCATTATCGGCATGAGCATGAAACTACCAGGAGATATCAAATCCTCGCAGGCTTTGTGGGATATCTTGAAAAATGCCCAATGCCTTACAGGAAAGGTACCTTCTGAGCGTTTCAATGTTGACGGTGCGTAGCAGCTATAATCTTCATGCGATTTTACCCGGGGAAATGAGTCTCATGATCAATCTAGCATTCTATCACCCGGATCCAGCACGTCTTGACAGCGTCAGTTGCTTTCAACATTTATGGCACGCGCTTCGCTTAGATTGACAATGGTTCAGATCCGCGTCCAAAACGCCCACTTCATGAACGAAGACCCGCGGGCATTTGACGCCCCCTTTTTTAGCATGTCCCCTGCAGAGGCGTGTATACTAGACCCTCAACAGCGAGGCTTGCTGGAAGGCGCGTTCCATACTTTTGAGAACGGTACGTCTCTGTTATACTCCCACTGACCTTGTATTTCGTTTCTGTACCCAAACTCGATTGTCCTATCACTGTTGGCATGGGCTTATTTCTGGTTAAGCCGGATATCCGATCGATAAAATTGCTGGCACCAACACGTCTGTTTTTTGTGCTTCCTTTGGACGCGACAATGAAGCTATCGTCTCACGGGATCCCGAATTCCAATCCAGATACCAGGGGACCTCGTCAGGCAGCACTATGCTATCCAACCGAGTTAGTTATTTTTATGACCTTCATGGTCCCTCTATCACGGTTGACACAGCATGCTCAAGTGGGCTATATGCTCTTCACTTGGGCTGTCAGAGTGTTCTTTCCGGGGAGTCCGACATGAGCCTCATTTGTGGAGCCAATGTTTATATGACACCCGAGTGCATGAGTATTCCACTCAGTAACGCTGGATTTTTGGGACCGGATGGTCGATCATACAGCTTTGACCATCGGGCAAATGGTTATGGGCGTGGCGAGGGCTTTGCTTTCATTCTCATCAAATTGCTACACAACGCGGCACGAGATGGAGATGTCATCCGAGCTGTCATCAGGGCAACGGGGGTTAACCAGGATGGCAGAACCCCAAGCATCACACAGCCTAACTCCAAAGCCCAGGTCGATCTTATACGAAGGACTTACCAGGCGGGCGGCCTGGACCTTGCTCACACCGAGTACGTTGAAGCTCATGGCACCGGGACCCCTGTGGGGGATCCCATAGAAGCTAGTGGCATCGGCGCAGTATTCCGGCAGCATCGCACCAGGCCAGTTCATATTGGATCAATCAAGTCCAATATAGGACACCTTGAAGGGGCAAGCGGTATCGCTGCGATTCTCAAGACGGTGCTGATTCTGGAGAACGGTGTGATTCCCCCAAACGCGAATTTTGAGAAACTCAACCCCGAGATCGACGCAGCAGCCTTGAATATCAAAGTAAGGATCCTGTGTGACAACTTGTATCCAAAGAATCTGGATTGGGACTCTGCGCGTCGGTTGTTGAAAGACTCCGATTATCTGTTTCTTATTCTCAATACTAATTGTGGTATGATATCAGGTCCCAACAAGCCCAGTAGCTTGGCCTTCTTCAGGATTACGGCGCGCGTCAGTCAGTTCTTTCGGTTACGGCGGATCAAATGCTCATGCCGTGCTGGAGGACGCACAGAATTATTTACGTCTCCGTAACCTCAAGGGTTATCACTTGCTGCCAGACTTCCGTTCCACAGCCCACAGAACAGTAAGTAACGGTCTTATAAGCGGTGAACCCAACGACATTGACAGCTCCATCAACCTGAATGGTTCGTCAAGAAATAGGACTCAAGTTTCACGCGCTGTCCTCGTTTTGTCCTCTTTCGACGAGGATGGCATTCGCCGATTGGCCGAGAGCCTAGAACAACACTTGGCCCTCTTCCCTTCACGAGTGCAAACTAAAGAGGACTTGAACAACTTGGCTCACACGTTGTTGACCCGGAGATCCGTTTTCAATTGGCGGGGATTTACCATTGTAGATCTTGCCAATGGTGTTCTCTCCAAACTGGCAGAGGGTCTATCGATACCCAACCTAACCTTGTCCTCCAAGAATTCTCTCCTCAACTTCGTCTTTACTGGACAAGGATCTCAGTACGCACGTATGGGCCTTGATCTAATTCAGTATCCGGTGTTTGAGCAGAGCGTTTTGAAATCTGACCGTCATTTATCCTCTATTGGGTGTTCTTGGTCAGTCTTGGGTTAGTGTCCTGGCCTATTGCCATAATTGCCTCGCCCGGGATGCTATTGCTAACTTACGGACGTTCCAGAAGAGCTCGAGTTCTCGGAATCTCGATCACGTGTTCATTCTCCAGCAGTTTCCCAGGCGCTTTGCACAATCATCCAGGTTGCTCTCGTTGATCAGCTGCGAGCCTGGAATGTGACACCTACTGCTGTGTGTGGACACTCGTCTGGTGAGATTGCTGCTGCGTACTGTGCCGGTGCAATCACAAGGGAGAGCGCGTGGTCTATTGCGTATTTCCGCGGGGTTGTTGCCGAGAGGCTGAGTTCCGATCCCAAGTTAGGGCCGACAAGGATGATGTCGGTTGGCATGAGCCTCGAAGATGTGCAGCCTTACTTGAAAGGTTATCAAGTCTGTGTGGCCTGCGTCAACAGTCCTCAGAGCGTCACTTTGTCTGGGGCCCAAGAGTCAATCGATAAGCTTTGGCGCCGACTTGAAGATCAGGAGGTCTTCGCAAAAAAGTTGCCAGTACCGATAGGTTATCACTCAGATGTGATGCAAGCCGGAGCCGCTATCTACCAGTACTACATTTCCGGGCACATTGCCAAACCTTGTCAAGGCGAAGCCCCCTGGAATCACACAATGGACTTCTTCTCCTCGGTAACTGGAACACGGATTGAACTTGAGGAGCTCCGCAACCACGGCTACTGGGTAAGAAACCTATTATCACGCGTCCAATTCTGCCAAGCTCTCCAAGCCATGTCTCAGTCGGGCGACGTCAAGAAGCAAGGAATTCGCATCGTTGTCGAGGTAGGACCTGACGCTGGCCTGCGTCGCCCCATCCAAGACACCCTCAATCAATGCTTGCCGCCCAAGTCATGGAAATATGTTGCCACGATGAAAAAGTCCGCTCAAGACGTCTCAATTTTGCTGAATCTTGTCGGCGAGCTATGGAGCGTTGGTATCATCGTGGATGTCAACAAAGCCAACCAAGACTCAACTGATGCGGAGGGAACACCTAAACCGTTTGTCGACTTGCCTTCGTATGCCTTCAACCACACCAAATTGTTTTGGGAAGAAAGTCGAATCAGCAAGCAGTATTCTTTCCGTCCTTTTCGCCGTCAAGCACTGTTTGGGATCCGAGACAAAGACTGGAATCCTGCAGAGCCTACATGGAAGAATAGAATCAGAGCCGAGGAAAGTCCTTGGATCCTTGAACACGGCGTAAGTTGAAGCCTCCATATGTTATTTGACTCTGAAGTGTAGCTTACTGAAATAGCTCAATGGATCTCCACTGTATCCCGGGGCCGGCATGATCGTTATGGCGATCGAAGCTGTGCGCCAGCTTGCTACACACGCAAGTCATCGGATTAAAGGCTATAGACTCAAGAACATTCACTTCCAGAAAGCTATAACCCTCGATAAGTCAGATAGAGGCGTTGAAACCAGGATCCAAATGCGCCCACGGAAACAGGTTACGAACAATCCTATCCAAGACCGGTACGACTGGCGGGTCTACGCTATTGCAAACGACGAGTGGACAGAGTGCGCTTATGGTTCCATCGAACTCGAGCTGGATTCCAATGTGGAAAAGGAGCGAACAACCACCAAAGCTGCTCGCTTTGCACGATTCTCCGAGAAGATTAAGGAAGAGTATAGACAAGATGCAGAAATGTGCGTGCTTGGGGTACATCACACACAATTCTACGACAACATCCAAAAGCACTCAGGCTACGACTACGGCAATGCATTCCGGCAGCTTCGCGACATCAAATACGACCGATCTGGCCATGCATCTGCTAGCCTATCTCTGAGAAACTATTTAAACACTATGCAACTAGCTTCCGAGGACCCATGCGTAATACATCCGACCGCTTTTGATGCTATTTTTCAGGCGCAAATGGTTGCTTTGTCACAAGGTGGCTGGCAACCTATTCCCACAATGATGTTTACGCATTTGAAGTCACTTTGGGTCTCACACTCTATTTTCACAGCCCCCGGGAACCCCAAGGTCGCAATTGCGAGTCACGAGACCATGCGGACGTTTCGGGAGGTTGAGTGCAGAACTGTGGCGATTTTTGATGACTCATTAGAACCGGTGCTCGTGAGCAGCGGACAGCGTGGCACTGCCATCACTAGCCTTGCCAAGTCTCTGAGTTTCATTGGAAAATCCGTTGGCCAGATGTCTTACGGAATTGACTACAAACCAGATCTTTCTCTTCTTCGCCCTGGGGAGATACAAGCTTATATGGAGTCTGTGTTCCGAAAAGATGGGATTCGGCCACCGTTGAAGGAAAATATTGATAGAGCTGATGCCATGGCACTCCACTTCGTCGAACTTGTGCTTGAAAAGCTCGACGAAGCAGGCGTGACGAAGTTTGAGGGGCACCTGGAGAAATATGTCACCTGGATGCGTTGGGTGACTGCTAATCGGCAAAAGTGGACTCTTGAATCCAGAGGAAGGTCAGATATCAAGATCGAAGATGTAATCGCTAACGCCGACCGAGAACCCTCCCAGCGTTTAGGGAAAACTGTCGGTACAAATCTATACGAAATATTGACAGGTAAAAAAACCCCTTTGGAGATAATCTTCGAAGGGGGGCTCGTTGAAGGTTAGTTATCGCTTAACACCTATGCGGGAGAGTATTCTGACCGTGAACTAATCTGGTGGTATTACTGCCAAGACTTTTATCACTCCGACATGTTCTCGCAGAATGATACCAAAGTCGGCGCATACATGAGATTTCTGGCACATGCCAATCCACATATGCGTATTCTGGAATTGGGTGCTGGGACAGGTAGTTCTACAGCTCAGATTCTACCATCCCTTATCTGTAACATTGGAAATTCACAACAAACCGTTCTGTGAGTGTGTAATAGTAAATGTTCTGCCCGAGAAACCTGAAAGGCTAACAAGTAGTTTTTTGAAGTTTTGCTGAATACGCCTATACTGATATCTCCCCGAGCTTTTTTTCGAAGGCTCAGGAGCGCTTCTCTACTATCTCAGAGAAGATGCGCTTCCAAAAGCTGGACCTTGAGTTGGACCCGGTATCTCAAGGATTTGATGAAGGAAGCTATGATGTCATCATAGCCGGCAACGTTCTTCACGCCACGTCGAACATGCTGCATACACTTTCTCGTGTTAAAACTTTACTTCGTCCAGGCGGAAAACTGATCATGGGCGAGACCACGAATCTAGACAATCTGAGAGACAAGTTTGTGTTTGGTCTCTTGCCAGGATGGTGGTTACAGAAAGAGAAGTGCTGGACTACAGATGAGGAGTATCGCAACCAAGGTCCCCTGTTGACCGAAGAGCAGTGGGCCGAGGTACTCCCAATGGCAGGATTTTCTGGCATCGAAATGGTTTTCCGAGACCACGACCATAAGCCATACCACCGTGTGTCGATTATCGTCTCCTCTTCCATCGAAAACCTGACTTTGAGCCCCCCGGCTGGCCCATTCACAATCATAATTGATACCCGCTCGTCGCTACAGCAATCAATAGCAGACATGGTGAAGCTCTCGACTCTTCAGGACCTCGAACCGGACAAACACCCCGTCATTATTGACATCCAAGACACCTTGAGCTATAACTTTCACCGAACCAAAGTAATAAGTCTTTTGGAGCTCGATCAGGTGCTGCTACTTGGCGCCAATGAGTCAACATTTAGCGCAGTCAAGAAGATAAGCCTTGATTCCGAGTTCGTTCTGTGGGTAACATCAGGAGGGTGTCCGCCCTCAACCATTCCTGCGTCAGAAATAGCCACTGGCTTTGGTCGCACAGTCTGCTCTGAGCGAGAAGACCAAGGCTTTATTACATTGAGCCTGCAAGAGCCAGCGCAAAGGATGTCGGAAGCTGCGAGGCATATTGTTCGTGTTCTTGAAAGCCTCATATCACGGTCACCTATCAAGTATAAAGAATCCGAATACATGGAACTCGACAACGTCATCAATATCCCGCGGGTCTTACCCCAGGTCGGTCTGAATCAGATCATCTATTCACATTCTACGGGCCATCACGGTTTCAAGATGTATACGGTCGGAGGCCGGCACCCGAAACCACACATTAGTCTCAAAATTGACACGCCGGGACTCCTTGACACGCTAGTGTACGAGGAGGACGCATTGGGAGAGGATCCACCGGGAGAAGGCTTCGTGGAAATTGAGGTTCACTCTACCAGCATGAACTTCAAAGACGTTGTCATTGCTCTGGGTCAGGTCCCTGGTCGCAGCTTCGGGTTCGATGGAGCTGGTATCATCTCTAGAACCGGCCCTGGCAGCGATTTTCAAATCGGGGACCCTGTTCTTTACTGCTATGCCTCTGGCGGCGGTTTTGGTACCTTCATCAAGTGTCCTGAACTATTGGTGTCGAAAATCCCCAACAACCTGCCTTTCGATATCGCTGCTGCTATACCTGCGGTATATTGCACAGTAGTCTACGCCTTTGACTACGTTGCCCCCTTGAAAAATGAAGACACCGTTCTCATTCATGCCGGAGCGGGTGGAGTCGGTCAGACCGCTATTCAGCTAGCAAAGATGAAGGGGGTCTCTGACATATTTGTCACCGTGGGGAGTGACCTTAAACGAAAACTTGTTATGGATAAGTTCGGTATCCCAGAAGACCATATCTTCTACAGCCGAGACACCACTTTCGCGGAAGACATACTGGCCGCAACTAGTGGGCGAGGTGTCGACGTCGTGATGAATACCCTCGGAGGTGAACTTCTCCAACAGTCCCTCGAGTGTACCGCCCCGCTCGGAAGGTTTATTGACATCAGCAAGGCTGACATATTGGCCGACAGCATGTTGTCAATGTCCGTATTTGACCGTGGCATCAGCTTTTCCGCGATAGACATGGTGGTTGTCCAGGACACAAACCTCAGTTTGATGGGCAAGATCCTTGAGGACGTCGTCAAGTTGTTCAAGGCACATCCAGAGCTTGAGGTGCCATCGCCTCTCCACGTGTACCACCCTGGAGAATTGGAGGGGGCAATGCGTTACTTACAAAGCGGCAAGAATATGGGCAAGGTCGTCGTCAGCTACGCTAGCCAAGGTGATGAGATGAAGGTACGTGGCCCTGCCCATCAGTGAACGCTTGTTTGCTCATTTCATCATAACTTGACAATTGGCTCACATGAAATGATTCAAGTATCGTCCCGCTACGAGACCTTCATATCACTTCAGCGACTCTGCGACTTACGTTGTTGGTGGTGGTCTTGGTGGTCTCGGGCGCGAGATTATCCGCTGGATGTACACTCGTGGGGCGAAACACTTCATCATCCTTGGCAAGTCGGGAATCGCCAAGGCCGGCGCAGCCAAGTTCATCCAGGAGTTGGAGCTCGGCGGTGCCCGAGTATGGGCCCCAGCCTGCGATCTCAGTGACCGAAATCTCCTTCAGAGTATCTTGAATGAAGCCACCACAAAAATGCCGCCAATTAAGGGTTGCATCCAAGCAGCCATGGTTCTGCATGTACGTCTACACCAAGACCAGGGACTATGGTTTTTCACCTTGATGCTTGCTACTTGAATGGCAAAATAAGCTACTAACTCGATTTACAGGACAGCACAGTCGAGAAAATGTCAGCGGAGTCGCTACATGAGGTTCTTCGACCCAAGGTCACTGGCTCCTGGAACCTTCACGAGCTCCTGCCTGGGACCCTGGAATTTTTTGTGCTTCTCTCCTCCTTTTGCGGTATCATGGGAAACCGAGGTCAAAGCAATTATGCCGCTGGCAACACGTACCAAGACGCGTTGGCTCGACACCGTGCCTCGATGGGCTTGAAGGGCGTGTCCATCGATCTGGCTCTTGTTGGAGAGGCCGGCTGGGCACACCAAAATCACGAGCTCACCGCGAAGAGCTTCCGAGTCGGGCACGGTGGAATTAAACAGTCAGAGTTGATGACCCTCCTGGATGCAGTTTGTGATCCTTCATACAACTGCGGCGCACAAGTGGTCAACATCATTGACACTCCAGAGAGCCTATACCGCTTAGCCAAGGCAGACGTTCTTCCATGGATGAAGAAACCGCTGTTTAGTGGTGTCATGCGAATCGGCGAAAATGCCTGCTCGACCATACAGGGCGACAGTGATCACAGTAACATGAACGATGACGAAGATAAAGTCAGTTATGTTGATCTGGTAGTTGCTGCAGCCTCTGTTGAGGAGGCTAGCGAGATTGTGGCCCAAGGACTTGTGCAAAAGCTAAGTAAGTCCCTTTGTGTTGCACCGGAGAGCCTTGATATAGAAAAGGCAGCGTACGTGCTCGGAGTCGACTCCCTAATTGCTGTTGAAGTCCGATACTGGTTTGCGAAGAAACTGGGTGTCGAGGTGGCCGTCTTCAATATCTTGAAAGACAGAAGTCTACTGAGCCTCAGTAGGGAGGTTGTTCTTCTACTCCGACAGTAGAGATATAACGAATAGAACGTGGAATAAGGAGTACAAGGACTTGATTAGTCGTCTGTAACGATTTGGCGTGCTGTGGATTCCATGGTGGATCCCACCATTTGAGACAATAGCCTGGCCGTCTAAGCCGTCCTGAGCGTGGGGCAGCTGATCTCTTTGAAACGTACCATACATTATTACTATATGAATGCGCCCCGGATGCATTCTACACGCGTCTACATGCAGGCTGTCCTCGACACCCTTCTAACAATGGCTAGGACAACGCAAAAAAACATAACCACAACTAAGTTGATATAATATCAGACAAAGACAATATACGCATTAACATTTATTAGCAAACAGCTAGGTAATTGTATAAGTGATAGTTGCTTGTCGTCAGCGATGCAGTGAATTCCCCTTCTTTAAAGATACAGCGGCACAAGCAGCGGGGTGAAGTAGGATATACCCCTGGTTATGTACGGCTAAGTACCTAACTCCTCCTCTACCTGGTCAGGCGTGGCCGACAGGGCTATGGCTTCCTATCTGCTACTGCCTTCGATTGCCTATGTTGCAGGTCCAACAATGTTAGGAATGATGGAGCGGAGAAGGAAGACGAAAACAGCTGGGGTCCACCAGCCGCCCAACAGGGAATTGCCATATCAGGTCAAACCCATCTAACGCCCTGGGGTTATACTGCGCTAAAAATCACAATGCACCACGACGACTGCTCTTTTCAACTCCACATCAGGCGACTTCACCCTTCTCCGCATGAGAAGCAAGAACGATACAAGAGGACCCCGGCTTTTATATGCGAGGCGTTCGGCGTTTCCTCAAGGAGTTGTTGTTGTCAAAGCCATCAAGTCCAGGCCTGGCGACCGCGCGGCATGATGCATCACGAGTCGCGGATTGGAAGAGAGAATACCACGCCCATCGTCAGCTTCAATGCGTAAGAGAACCCGGCGGTTATTTTGACTAAAGGTTGACTCGTCACGGAGACATATCGCGGAACTCCTCGGAGGCAATGCTCATTTACAGACTTCATTTCTCAAAAAGGTGGAAGCCCCTGACATGGGGAGCCGCCAGTGGTGCGACATGAAGGGCTACAACCGGTTCCGGGGCACGCTCGCGGACGCCAGGCGCGTTCTGCAAGGGATAGAGGAAGCTCTAGAATATCTTCACAAGAAGTAAATCCTCCACAATGACATCAATCTCGCCAACATCCTCTATAACGAGACAAATGGCGCGGTACTACCCGTAGGACTTAGTCATTCAGCTACGCTATATACCAGCTATGGCGATGATGAACTGGTTAAGGGGTGTTAAAGATACCTGAAAACAATTGCAAGAGACTACTAGACTGTATAACGGGGTGTGAGCTCTATTTATCTAGATAAATAGCGTTAGGGATCTTATTAACAAACCACAAGCCTGAATAATTTGTTATTTAGTTAGTTTGCTATTGTAATAGAGAAGTTGTTGTTGACTAGTTGCTAACAAGGAGTAATAATAACATCCACCATTGCAATAACAGCAGGCATGCTTTGTTTCCGTGAAGGCCTAAAAACCCGATTTTATTTCAAGAGCGTCAGAACAAAAAAGTATAAATGTTTGATTGGGCACCCTTCCCAGGCATTTGCGGGTAGCACATCTTACTTGTGATAGACTTTCAATGAGCGGGCTGTAGTACCACCCACTGCTGTTGAAGCGTGGGGCAATTAGCCAGCCTAGATACGCCTGATGGGCTAAAGCGGGCGAAAACTGGAGATGTTGATTAGATACACTTCTCTACCTAAATTTATTATAGAGAAATCATAACGCGTGTATTTATTCGCCCCTTAAGCACGCTAGAAATAAGGGAAATACACGTATTAGACAACTAGGTTTAATGCTGTATTATCTACTTTAACAGCTGCTCTGCATGAGAGCACGTTCCCCGCCTTAACCCAGCTTTCTTAGGTGCTAGCCCCCGTCTCTTGCCTAACTCTTAACCTTGCCTCCTTTTTACCTGTTATCAAATGTGGCGAAAGTACATGTGAATTCACCAGCAAATGCACGGTTGCCCTATAGCAAATCAACAGAGAATAGGCAGTGAAATCGCCCTACTTTAATAGTGATTTTACTAATAATATTACTAGGATTAGCCTAGAATTTCGTAACTAAGAAATAAGGGGATTTCTTCACTCTTATAGAGCTTTACTATAGTTATATATATAATAGTACATTAATTAACTATTATAATACTTATAATTTAGTAGTTAATAGTTTAATATATATACTTATAAGAGCTAATATACCTACTTATAAAATAGGTATTATTATAAAAGTAAATAGTAATAATAATAATAAGAGAACTATTCTATAATTATATAATATAACTATGTACTTAGGGGTGTTAGTAAGTAAGCTAAGAAATCTAAACACTCTCTCCTACAGAGGGGGCGAAAAAAGGGGGGTTGTAGGAAAAAAAGGGGGGTCGTAGCAAAAAAAGGGGGGTCGCACCCACATCACAAATAGTATCACTTTTAGGTGTAATATATAGTATAACTAACTATTCAATTCGTAAAGCAATAACTATAACAATTAAATATATTAATAAGAGTAGGATTAATTAATAGCCCTAAATTAAGGCTTTATAACAATACCTTTAATTTTCTATTTATAAAATAAACATAAATTTATATTATAAATATAACAGAGCTACTATTAGATATATTATCTACTTTATGTTACTGCTTCCTTTTTCCTTGTAATAATAAAGGGGTAACTAGAGGGATTAGCACTTACCTAGTGCTTTACTAAGCATAAATATTACGTATAATATAATAATATATTAATATATACTATAATATAGTTACTTATAATAGTGGTGTTATTAGTAGAAATAGTAATAATATATCCTTATTATTATTATTACTATTAAGACTAGGTATACTAATAGATTTATTACTGCTTTTAACCTTATTTTTATTTTCTTTAAGGAGGTTATTAATATTAGTAAATATATCTAGATTAAAATATAGCTCTGCTGCTGCTGCTACAGTACTAGCTAATACTTAGTTAATATTACACTAACTAAGGGGTCTTACTAAATATTTAAATTAGTTAAGTATATATAGTAGATAAGGAGTTAGGTTAACGTTAATAGTAAATTTCTTAGGCTTTATATTATACTAGTAAGGAGCTAAGGTATTAAATAGAATATAGTTATTAACTTCTTTAGTATAGACTAACTACTATTAAAAGGTTAGTTACCTCCTCTTACTATCTACTAGTTAATACTTTGTTATATAATATTATAGGTAGACTTCTTTTTCCTTAATACAAGCAGCCTTCTTTATAAAGGCCCTCTACTGCTATATCTCTACCTACGTTACCTTAGCGATTTATTTATTATATACCTCTTATATATCTATAATAGTAACACTTAATATAAATAAATATAATAGCTTTATAGCTTAGTAGGCTTATTTTTTTTACTATAATATAGCTAACCTCTTATTATAGTCTTTAATATACTACTGTCTATACTTATAGCTAAAAGACCTCTCTAAAATTACCTCCTTTATTATTTTATATTACGTCTTTAAATATAGGCTCTATACGCTACTATATTTATTCTTAATATACTATACTATAAGTATTACCTTATTAAATCTATTATTATCTAGTAAGAAATATATAAAGTAAGATAATATCTATAGGTTAGCCTCTTATATTTTTCTTACTAGCTAGGCTAGTACTATATTATTATAGATAGGCTAGATACCTAACTTCTTAAACCTATTTATAATATTCTTTATTATAAAGGCTATAGTAGTTATAGTAGTAAAGGTAGTAATAAAGTTACCCCTTATAAATATAAGGTTACTATCCTATATATAATAGTAAAGCACTTATTATTAGGCTTTCTTAAATAGTTAAAAGACTACTATATTAATTAGCTAAAGAAGATAAGTAATATAAAGTAAAAAAAAACCTAAGATAATATTAAAGTTAATATAGTATTTTATAAGCTTAATATTTATATAACTAGTAAATCTATTAAAAAGAAAAAGCCTATAAGGTTATTTATTTTTCTTAATAGTCTTATAATAATTATAATATAGTATATCTTTTTAGTCTATTAACTATTTAAGTTAGTATACTATATAGTATAACTACTATAGCTATATATATTATAACTAAAATATTTACTAAAGGAGTAGCCTAGATATATATACCTAGTAAAGTATTTATATAACTTAGTATTAAAGTGCTATATATAGTCTATTATAACGTCTTTATTTAAGAAGTCTATTACTAAGTATATAAAGTAGACACCTTCTTAGATCTAATAATTTACTTAAGTAGTAATTAGCTACGTTTTAAAGATTATATATACTAGTATACTATTACTAATTATATTACTATATCTAACTATAGTTAAAGTCTTATAGTTAGATAGGTTAATAACCTCTAGATATAGACTATACTTTAGCTCCTTAAGGACTATAATATAAAGCTAGCTATTAAGGTAGCTAATTTAGTATCTAGATTTATTAGCGTTCTATATCTTAGATAGGCTAAGATTAAAGTTTATAATATTTACCTAGTACTAGGTAAAGAAGTCCTAGACAGAGGCAGTATTAAACTTAGCTCCCTTCTAGTATACCTAAACAGGCCAGATTACAGCTTTACCCTCTAGCTCTAGGTAGTTAGTAAGCTAGGTCTAGATAAAGTAGTTACTGTTAACAGCTAGCTAGCCCTAGAGGTTATAGAGGAAGTTAGCGGTTTCTTTAACCTAGACTAGGGCTGCTAGGAAGCTAATTTGCTCTATTTATATAATAAAGGCGGTAAGTGCTAAGTCCTTAACTAAGGTTAATAGCTTTAGCTAGCTGCCCTCCTCTAGGCTAGCCTAGAGGTTACTGCTATTACAGAGGGTATAAAGGTGCTAGTAAATAGACATATTAGATACTCTATACTACTAGGTAAGTGCCTATATAGTAGGTATAGCAGAAGGTATTTTACTAGTATAGCTATAGGTA